TTAAAAAAAAAAAAAAAAAAAAAAAAAAAAAAAAAAAGATATTTAAAAATCTAATAATTTTTCCAAACAAAAAAAATGAATTTGAAGTATTAAATCGAACTTTAAACCTATTTGAAAAATATTAGATGACATTAATATTCTAGACGAGCATAAAAGCTTTCAAAAACTTGGAGTAGATATAACAAAATACTTTTTACTAATAGCATAAAAAATTCAAATTTTAAGCTTTATATATATATTAATTAAAATTTAGATTTGGATTTAAATGCATTCTATACATTTGAATCAGTATTTGAAATTTGTGTTTTCAGAGTTCTCATGAGTGAGAACACAATTATAAATTTGTATATAGTATAAATTTTTTACTGTTTACTATTAAAATTTTTTGCAAACAGTAAAATAATAATCGTGGTTTCATAAGTATATAATAGAAAACTATATAATAATGTAAAGATACTTATTTTACAATTAATTTATTATTTAAAAATATACAAATTAAATTATACTAATACATAAAAATTTTTTTTATATTAGTAAAGAAAAATTCTATAAAATTTATAAAATTTGATACTCTATTCCTATTTCTGTGATACAATATAAACTATTAAAAAAAGTTAAAAATTTTAAAAAATTTCTTTATTCAATTATTTTTTATACTTTGTTTTTTCTTTTTTTACTATTTTTTATTTATTATTTATTATTTATCTATTTATTTTCTAAAAATTTTATTAATTAAATAAGTATGATTTTAAAAAAAAAATTATTACAATCTTTAAAATATAAAATTGAAATTTCTAAATTATTTATTAAGTAAACAGCTCTAAGAATCAATAAAACTTGTAGCACTATTAATGTGGTTCTAATAACAGTAAAAACATTAAATTCGGTTTAGTAGATTAAAAGTTATGAGCGATTTACATTTTACAATTATATAAATTTCTTTGCAGATCTATATAAAAATTTTATATAATTACAAAATGTAAATCGCTCATAACTTTTGATATACTAAACTGAATTTAGCATTTTTACTATCATTAGAACTGTATTGATGGTTGCTACAACTTTTATTAATTTTTTAAGAACTGTTTATTTAGTAAGTAATCTCAGAAACTTCAATTTTATATTTTTAAAAAATTGCTTTTTTTATTTTATATATAAATTACTAATAAATTTAATCCACAGAAATAGATAGATCCATGGAAATAGGTATCTTTACCTTATATTCATATATATTAGTTTTAAAATTGTATCTTTAAAATTAATTGAAATAAAGATTTACTGACAAAACTTTTCATACACTCCATGTATATCTTCAAACTATTAGTTTAAAAATATAAGGCAGATATAGTAGGATTATATTATATATATTTATATTTTTGTTTTTTTTAGACAAAATTCAATAATTTAATATATTATTACCCTATTAGCATATAATATTAGAAAGATATTATACAGATATAATACTGATTATATTAACTATTCAATTATTTTATATCTGATTTTATAATGTTTGTTTTTATATATATCACCTTTATATTAGCCTATTATATTAAAAAATTTTGATCAGTAATAGTTTATATTTTTTTTTTGCTATAAAAATAAATTAAATATAATCTTTTTGTTAAAATCTAAATAGAAAAATTGTTTTAAAAAAGTGGTTATAACAGGCTATAAAATCTAGTTAATAATCTATTCAAAAAGACAAAAATGTCTAATTGGTAGTAAAACAAATTCTATTTTGGCAAGTTATATATAAATATTTATAGCAACTGAATAAGTTATATTTTAATTGTAAGATACATTTGGGCTCTAAAAAGCAAGATTTCCTACTATAAACAACCACAAAACTCAGTCTATCTCTTCACAATTTGGGACTTACCCAAGGAAATTAGTGCATCAACTATCAAAACATATCTTAGATTCTTTGGCACAGCTTCTGTTCTCGCATGGCAGCAAAACTTCAGAACTAAAGTGGCATATATTAAGATTTTGCCAAGTTCTGAACAGAGAGCAAAGTTATTAAAAGAAAGTTGGATAGTTCATTTAAATCAAGGAAAAACATATCATACAACACTAAAAAAGTTTGATATCGCTGAAATAGAAGAAAGAAATAGCTATAAATGTATAATTTCAAACATATCAACTATGGCATACGATAGCCTCCTTTTGCACCAACTCAAAAAATTTAAAGTTCAAGCAGTACATATATTAAAAAATCGTAATGGGAATCCAAGAAAAAGAGCTCACCTATATTTTAAATCGGAAGAAAACCTCTTAACAGCCCAAAGTTGCAATATCTATTACTTTAATACTAAGCTTGAATAGTACCAAACTTCAGAAGAGCTAATTAGGAAAAACACTCTTAATGCATTTTATTACAAAAGAGAAGTCAAAAACATGAACAAAGGTAAAAGAGTTTTGAACGAAATCAAAACACCAAGTGAAAAGCACCAAAACAAATGCGCACTTCTCAAACCTAGCAGTAAAACCAGATTCTCTATTTACACCTCTTCTGAAAATAAGAAAAACAGTGGAAATAATAGTAATCTTAGAACCTGAAGCAATACTCATAAGCCTCTTAGAAATTCTGAGAAAGAGTATGCAACTGGATCAAATAGAGTTAAATTAGAAGAGAAAAAAAAGCAGGGAGAAAAACAGAAACTTCAAGAATTCAGATTAACTCAAGATGAAAATGTTTATGAAAAGATAAAGCCAAGCAATAGAAGCTCTAGTAATTCAAGACACATATCTATATCTGTACCCAGTATACATGATAGTATTCTAGAGCAAATCTTAAACAGATTACAGAAAATTGAAGAAAAACAAGGGGTTTCAGTTCCTAATCGCTCCTAAGAGCATCTCAGCTGTATTAATAGAAACAAACGAGCAAGTTGGCTCGTCAGGGCAAACTCCACTTAAGATAACCTATAAAGCTCTGGATTACAATTTAAATTTAGCATGTCACAACATTAATGGTCTTAAATCGAACAATCAAAAACTTTTATATTTAATAGATTGGGCTAAAGAAAAAAATATTAATATTTTAGAAATCACAGAAACAAATATAGCAGAAAAGAAAGGCCAATATATACTCTCTCCAAAAAGCCCATTCAAAGATTATTGGTCAGATGCTAATGTTGATAAAAAAAAAGGCTTTAGAATAGGAGTTCTAATTAGTGAAAAAATCTAAAAAGTTTAGCAGGTTTTAGAAAACATAATGAATACTTACTCGAACTGTTTCTAATCATAAACCACCTAAAAATTAATATTCTTGTTATGTATCTTCCCCCTAAGGGCAATGACATTTATTACCTAATATCGATTTACTATAACCATCTACCCCCACCCTCCCAGGTAAGATAAGAAAAACAGCCAATCAAAAATCAAATCCAAAATAAGTGATTTGATTGGCTAAACAAAATAACAGTACTCAAAAAAAACATACAGAGGGGTCTCCAAAATTCCAGATCGGAATGTATTAGAATACTAGTTAGCTGGAAGTAAAAATGCCTAGCTGTTAATTTTGCTATAAAACCTGCTAACGACTAGGACTAAACACCGACCTAGATTTGATACATTCGACTCAGAAATTTGGAGACCCTCCTGTAAAAATTATCAAGAAAATCCGGTCCAATACAGACTCCAGAAGTCAAATATTTATCAAGATCAGACTTGAGACTTCAACTCACACATGTAGCTGATATATTTTAGATATATCACATTATGTTAGATGCACATGTAGATGCGAGTCGAAATCCCATGTCTGACTTTTTATTAGCACCCTACTTTGCATTTATTTAATGATTAAGGAGATTATATTGTATGTAGCATGGTAATTAAGCCAATATAGCAAAAGAGGTTTTCTCATTATTCTAAAACAAGTAACTTTTTTTTTTTTGAAAAAAAAACGCTAGTATGACACTATATGGCGTGATTTAATGAATACTAAAACAAGAAATTTTCTATGCGTATGTATGTATGTTAAAAAATCATCATTTAACGCCACCTTTTCCTACTTCGTGAACAACATTTTTTTTTTTTTTAATATACAAAGTTGACATTAAAATGAATAGACAACTCAATCTTAGTTCCAATTATGAAAAAGAAATAGAAACTTCCAAAGAAAAAGCAGCTGATAATTCCGATAGACAAAATGTAGGTAGTGATTCTACTAGACAAAATGAAGGTGGTGATTCTACTAGACAAAATGATGACTTCCGCAACTAACAAGGAATAGGCACTGACAAAAATAAAAAAAAGCATTTCGCCAAACTTTTTTTTTAACCCCTAAATATAATAAAAATTCGATTTATAGTTCACCAACAAGTAAATATCAGGAATTTTCAAATGCCTATATATATAGTATTATGGTAAAGGTACCCCTAATCGTGCACAAGTTTGTCGTAAGGCAACACAAGAGTGGAACAAAATTAAAACCAAAAGCGTGGAGGAAATAAACAATATAATAAAGGCATATTTGACTACGCCATTTAATCTATATAACATACAAACAATGAAATTAAGAAATTTTGTGCCTAAAGAAAACTTAGCGCCTTCCCATTCTACTATCTATTCAGTAGAAGACCCTGTATCTGAAATTCCACCAAATGCAGTAGCACAAAAGAATGCAGCAAACGCAATCGAAACAGCTAAAAAAAAACTTTTAGAACTTAAGCAAATATACAACATTACAACAGACCCTCAGTTTCGATGTGAAATATATAAAAAAATAGAAGAATTTCAAACACAAATACAAGCTAATAAAGATAGAATTGTCAAATTAAAAAGAAACACAAAGTATGCTCAAAACTATAAAGAAAAGAAACAAAAAATACTCATCAAAAATCAGGAAGTAATCAAATATGATCGGCCAGGTCGTCCATCGCTCCTTTTTAAGCATCTACATTTGCATGATCATATTTATGAATCAGTTGAACTTGAATCAGCTGATGAAAAGCAGAGAAAAGAAATAGTTAAAGTGCGGATAGTAGAAAATTTACGTAAAAATCTTGAAGAGAATTATGGTGTCTATATGGCACGAACAACATTAAATAATTACTTCTTACCTCGACAATAGCCGCGAAGGCATACCACCACCCAGCATGGATTTTAGTTGCAGGCGTTTCACAGACTGAAACACATGAACATCCTGACAGTCACTATTGTTTTGAATCTATCAAATGTGCGAAATAGTTGGCATCCGTTTTCGCTAATATGTCAATAATAATATCCCAGGATAATAAAGCGAAGATAGGCCTTGGTGTGCCTGCTGTTGTCGAACATTTCATAGATTACAATCAATCAATGATCCAATATGTGTACCAGATCATGATTTCTCCGTAGGGTTTGAACAAAAATTAATTCCATCAGTATAACTCATAATCAACCCAAATGATTCAAATGATGAGCTACAAATGGGACAACTTGCCATTTTTGTACGCCACCAGTGGTCTCTTGGTACTTCCTCGCTTACACACATTCATGATCTTGAAAATCTTACTTTAGATCCCCAATATGATTCTGCATTAAAAACTAATGAAAAAATTTGACCGATCTGGGTTTTATTAGTGGACGGTGGACCAGATGAAAATTCAAGACACTTAAAAAATATTAAGTCATATTGTTTGCTTTTTCGAAAGTTCAATTTGGATTATTTGACTATAAGAACAAATGCCCTGGGACAGTTCAAATAAAATCCCGTCGAAAGAGGCATGGCGACACTTTCTGGTAAATTAGCAGGCGTTATATTACCAATTGATCATTTCAGAATGCATCTAAACTCTCAAGGCAAAGTTATTAACCCAGAATTGGCTCTTAAAAATTTTAAATATGCTGGAGAAGCTCTCTGTGATATTTGGTGTTATGATTTGATTTTTGGAAAGTATGTAAATGCACAATATATTGAGAAATTTACAAAATCTTTTGAGAATTTGCAGTTTGAGGGCACTGATAAGGAAAAAGAGAAAAAGCTTGAACAACAAGACAAAGAAAATCAAAAAAAAATCAAAAAAATCAAACCAAAAATCAAAAAAAAAAAGATGACTTAGCTGAGTGTTTTATACCATGGTCAT